CGGCGGCTGCCCTCGCGGCCGGGTCTCGCACGCTCCGAAGCGAGCCGATAGGGACCTGTGCGGTGGTCCGTCGCTATTCACGGAGGGCTTCGGAGAGGAGCTCGGGAGGCTTTGGTGCAGAGACGAGACGCGGGACTGCGACAGTCGCAGGCGGGCGTCCTCCTGCGCCCCTGTAGGGGGCGCTGCGGGCCCTCCTGGGGAAAGAGCCTTCCCGCCCCATCTCTACGCGAATAAGGGACGCGGGGAGCACGGAAAGGGAGGCGTCCCCGGGCAGAAGGAGGCTCCTGAGTCCTGAAGCCGATTTCCTGGATGGGGAAGAAAATTAGTTGCCGAAGTCATTGTCCTTACTCCCTCCTTCCCTTGTTCCGAACAGCGGGAGCTGCCGGGTATTTGCGATCCATTCAACCCACAGCCATGGCTCCTTGTCCTAAACATGCCATGTTATAATACCTGGTGCCATTGAAGACTTTTGTTTATCTGCAGTACTGGGATGAACCCGGGGTCTTCACAATGAGCTACATCCCCAACCCTTTACAATTTTGAGAGAGATCTCCCTAAAGTGCCCAAACTGGGTAAAAACGTGCCATCCTCTTGCCTCAGTCTCCCAGAGTGCAGAGATTACAGGCGTGCGCCATTATATCCGGTCCTATTGAGGACTTAAAAAATAAGTTGAGGTTCTGGTTTGCTTTTGTTGCATTTGTTTACAGTTTTCTGTTTTTCGTGATGCTTGACAGTCCTGGATCCTGTCAGGAGATCAAGGAACTTACGGTCATTGAATAAGTTGGAGGAAGTGGGTTTTATTCCCAAAAGGATTTGAACAAAATTAGAAACAGACCAATTTATCAATTCCAGCACATCCTAATTACTCCTCAAAGGATAGTATTTCCAATGCTTATAGCACAGAAGCCCAAGCTACTTATTGAGCTCAAAGTAGTAATGAAATTAGGAAGCTATAAAAGTAAAACCAGATATGGCTTAAAAATAAATCTTTCCTAGTGTGTTAAAAATCTCAAATCACTTAAAAAAAAGTGGAGCCATTAGGATGTAAGCAGAATTGTAGCAGAAAATTTGCAAGACATTTTGTCTTATAGAATCATGCAAAGTAAAAAGCTTATGCAATACCATCTTTTTTTTTTTTGGTTTGAAATATGTTGTTTAGTGTTTATAAAGCTGTCAATTATTACCTGTTATTTATATCTTTTTTTAACAGATCAGCTGGACATTCTTATTTCCACAATTCCAAAGGTACTGGTGAGTAGCACATATAAAGTAGGTAATCACTATGAATAACAGGGTTGAGAGAAGCCAACTTGCCAGTACTATTTACACAGTGGAGTTTTAAAATTAGACTTTATTAGCATCCTTGGTAGTCTTTTTTATTATTTTTTCCAGTAATGGGAATGGAACCCAGGAGCACTCTACCACTGAGCTACATCTCTAGTTCTTTAAAAAAAATTTACAAAAACATTTTGAGACAGTCTCAATGAATTGCCCAAGGTGGGCTTGAATTTGCAGTCCTCTTGCCTCCACCTCCTCAATACTGAGATTACATGTGTGTGCCACTGTGCCAGCTTACTCTCAAGATTTCAAAGAACAAATTTGGCAGGTTCTTTCTCTTTTGTAAATAAGTCTCACATCAACCATTTAAAAAATTAGCAGTGATTCTTAAAAAACATTGTTCACAATTGTTGGCTGAAAACCACAGAGCACAGCCTTGGGTTTACACACAGATTGAAAGAAGAAATTCTGAGATAAACAGTTTCAGAGATCATAAAACATATCACAGTGCTAATACTTTCCTCTCACTTAAAGGACAGAGCTAAATTCCTCGTCTCTATTGGAGTTAGGAGAAAAAAACAAGCCCTTAAAAGCTTCTTGCTCATTTATTTTTCTGGAGAAAGGGGAAGTAGTTTAGTAACTTTAGTATATGTCTGTGTGTGTGTGTGTGTGTGTGTGTGTGTGTGTGTGTAGTAGTAGTAGTAGTAGTAGTAGTAGTAGTAGTATTTAAGTGTAGTTACAGTTTTAAAATATTTTGTTTAAATTTAGTGATATAAACCTGAATTCACTTTGCTTTCCCTTGGAAAAGCTACCTAGGGAAAAATACACACATATATATGTAGATATGCATAAATACGTTCACAAGCAACCTAATCATTTTTATAATGTACTTCTTTTTTTAAAAAGAAGTTTATTTTTTAGTTTTAAGTTCACAGGAAAATTGAGAAAAGACGTAGAGATTCCCATAGACCCTTGTTTCCCCACATGCACAGCCTTCCATTATTAACATTCCCTACCAGAATGGTATATTGGTTATAATTGATGAGCTTATACTAACACACCCTCTGTATCCAGAATTTAGTTTACATTAGGGTTCGCTCTTTTTTGTGGGGGTGGGTACTAGGGACTGAACTCGGGTCCTTGTGCTTACAAAGCAGGCGGTGGAACCACTGAACTAAATCCCCGGCCCTCACTCTTGGTTTACATATAATGTGTTTCATTGGAGGTTTGTTAATTTAGATTCCTCACTATAATTCTTAAAGCATGTAAAAAAGTCTAATGAATTATAATTAAATGTAAAAACAAAACAAACTGGTATAAAATTGATATAATTAGCTGGGCCTGGTGGCACATGCCTGTAATCTCAGTACTCAGAAGGCTGAGGCAGGAGGATTGCTGTGTCTGGACTGAACTGGACTGGACTGGACTAAGACCAGCCTGAAATACATAGTGAGACCCTGTCTTTAACAACAACAATAGCAACAAAAAGATGTAATTATTAAAATCTAGATATGGAAGGAGATAAAAGTTTTTAACAATTATAAGTATATGGGAATTAAGCAAAAATTCCTAAATATAAAAAATGAAATGTTTACATACAATCGCACTCAAGTAAAAACTCAGAAAGGTAAATATCAAAATACTTTGAAGTATTAGTAGATCTTGTTATTAGAGGTTTTATTTCTTTAGTCTGTATATCCACAATGGACAATGTATGTGTATAATTGTAGGAAAAAAAGGCTAGTATTCAACAAGTGCTTGTTTTCCTCTGTATTGGGACTTAAGGTCTTATCCTATTATTTAACATAAATAATACAGCCAACTCTTGGCAGAGAATCTAGTTTTTCCTGTGTCTTGTTTTATTGTTTTGCAACAGAAATCCCTATTAATTATATCCTTTTAAACAGATCAACTGAAATAGATCATGTTCCAATAATGACTAATATAGAACATAACTGAAAACACTTGCCTATGCAAGAGGAGCTAATGTTTTATAAATGGGAGATGTGATTCCTTCATTTTAAACATAACCTGAGTCCTAGAAACCTCTGAACTCTTTATGTGAGTAGTGGAGCCCCCCCAGTGACATCATGACCCTCTGCTCCAGTGGTCAGTACATGGAATCACTGTGGATGTTGAATGTAATCACTGTGAGTGCCCTTTTAGAACCTTCCCCATTCTCTACAGACAGATTTGGCCCAGACAAAGGTGAGTGGAATAAGTCAAAGGTCAGTGGTCCCTAATAATTAATAGGATCCTCTCGGTTCCCATACATATGTCCTACTTTATATTTGCTTTAATTTGGCAGGCTTCGTGGCAATGAGTAAAACCCATTTTTCAGTAACTTATTTACTAACACTTGATTCCACCTAACAATAAACTACATTTCTAAAATGACTTTTTGAAAGTCCAAATTGACTTCAGATTTATAGGAAAGTTTTAAGAACAGTACTACATGCATTCGTACATGAAGTTCTGGGGTCCCTTCATTAAGATGCTCCCAAATGTTATATCATCCACCACCCACCCACCTCCCTATCTTATATCTATTCTTAACTGTTTAAGGGCAAGTCACCAACAGGATGCCCCCTGACCTTTTGAGACAGGGTGTCCACATGTAGTTCAGGCTGGTCTTGGCCTACCATGTAGCCCAGAAAGTCCTCTTGTCTCCCCGCCGCCCCGAGTGCTGGGATTACAGATGTGTGCCACCACACCTGGCCAGGCAAGATGCCAAGTACATTTTCCTTTATAATAATAATTTAAAAAGAACTATAGCTGGATGTGATGGTGGAGACCTGTAATCTATCCTAGTACTGTGGCAGAGTACTAGGTGTGGCAGAGGACCGCAATTTCAAAGGAAGCCTTATTGACTTAATGAGGTCTGGAAAAAAAATTTTTTTTCTGGTACCAGGGATCAAACTCAGGAACATGTACTTGTGAGGCAGGCATGCTGCCACTGAGCTAAGTCCCTGGCCAAAAAAGAAACTGCAAACTGAAATATCAGCTACTATAAGAATGGATCTTTTTTTTTTTTTTTTTTTTTTTTTTT